TGGATTTGTTTTGATCCTAGCTATATGCTTACATACATATACATATACATATGTGTATTTGTGCATGCTTAGCTTATTTGTTGCGTGCAAATTTAATCACCTGCAAACATGCAGGTGGTATTTTCCTAATAAAGCTTAATGAAACCCTAAATCTTAAAGGATACTTACTACTCATGCGTGTATTGGTGCTTTTTGTGGCCAAAGTTATATTCACATATTTGTGTGTGTGTGTGTGCCTGTGTTTACCTTATAGGCATAATTGCTCTGTTTTTTCTATGTTCGTGTTTTCGGAATAATTTAATTACATTGTATCGATTACAAATTGGATTACGATATTCGTTAAGTTTCCCTTTTAATGCCTATTTTCAGGTTTCTTAAGGCGTGCGTCGAATATTTTCTTAAATTTCACTTTTTAATTCTTATAGGATTTTTTTTTCTTAGGTTGGTCTTTAAATAGTGATATTCAGCATATCGTGGGCAACACTGTAAAACGGTATATGTCAATTAGTATCCTTGCGACTTAGATGGTCTGCTACCTACGCCGGAAATTTTCTAAAGCATAATTGCCCAGTATATAAATACAATGAATTTAAGGCTTGTATTCCCAACTGGTGGGTTCGTTAAGAAAAAAATCGATCCCACACCTTCCAGCTTCACTGATTGCTGCTAGTTCGGAAAATGAAAACTGAGATTGCATTAGTGCTCTTGAGAATGTACAACGCTTCTTCCCAATCGCTCCTTGAAAAAATACTTGTTCCGAAATAATTCCTCAAAGCAAAGGGCGATACTTGATATTCTGGGCATCTTAAGTTTGCATGAAGATCTTAACTTATTTTGGAGTGTCTGACCATCGTATCGCTTCATTATATGAATGCGTTTAATCTTACCGCTTACGCCTTACCTATAGTCCTTTAAATAAGTTCCCCGGTAAAAAGATCTCATGGCTCTCTCAAGCCACATTTTTTTACCCTAAATCTGATTGGAAGGTGCCTACGGCAGTTAGTGTTTATCTTATATGCCATCTACACTGAGCCTCTCCTTTCTGTTCCAAACTACGCCCAGATACCCGACTGCGTCTTAGATTTTCAGATCTTACTAAACATATATTTGCATATATTTGTAAGGGGATATGCATTTTTATGCAATTTTCAAATATATCTTCCGCTTCATCTGGCTGCATTTGTAATTCTCTCTCTCTCTCTCTGCCTCTCATACCAGGCGTGTGAAGTGCGTAATTGACTTGAGTTGCGCTTATTATAGGGAATACAAATGATTCAACTTTCACAAGCGATTATATGAATCAAAAGTTGAACGAAAGTAGGCAGCTGACCAACTTCATTGAAAGCAATTAGTTAAAAGGCCGTTTCCACCAGGCAACTACTATATTCAACTAAAATTTGCCTGCGAAATCGCCTCATGTAAATTCCCCATTACCCATTTGGGCTCATTGAGCTTGATGAGCAACTCATTCGGTAAAAGATAATATTTGCTTGTTCTGCCACCGCATTTCCAGATCTGATCCCCTGCTCTTACGCACCCAATATATGTAAGTAGTACCTACATATGGCAATAGCCCAGCGGAATTCTTGCAACTGTTTTTCAACTCACCGAAGTCAATTGGTCGATTCTGCAATTATCTTGAAAGCTCTTTTAAGACCTTCGAAAGAGGAATTGCCAGATCTGGCAACGAGGAAGTCTTATATATTTTTCTTTTTATAACAACAAAAACTAAAAACTAACTAAAAAAATAAATTAAAAAGAGAAATATTAATAAAATAAGTTTCTTAAAATTGAATAATATTATAAGAATTAAAAAAATTTTATAAAAATAAAAAATTAAACGAAAACAAAAATATAAGCAAATAAAGTGAAATAAATATTTTTTTTAATAATATAATTCATAAACTGAAAAAAAAACTAAATTAAAAAAAGAAAAATTTTAAAAAATTCAAACCAAGATTTTTTTTTTAAATGGCATTAAAAAAATATTTTTCTTTTTAAAACAAATTAAAAGCAGATTATATTAAAATTAGCAAAAAATGAATTAAGAAAGAACAAAGAAATAGTTTTAATCTAAAAACAAAAAATCTAAAAAATTAATTAAATAAGAAATAAAAATAAAAATAAAATAAGTTTCTAAACATTAGATGAAATTAATAAATGTAATTGTATGTATGTATTTTTTTTCCTTTTTTAAACATTAGAAACTAAAAATAAAGGAAAATTAACTAAAAAAAACAAGTAAAAATGCCGCTGCCCTAGGACTCGAAACTCGGATCTCTCGAATCCCACGCCAGTGCATTGCTCCCTCGACCATTGCGACTTTTGGACTGAAGCGAGCAAAATGATATAGTAGTGCTTTCTTTCAAAAGAGCTTTTCACCATGAAAATTTGCAAAGGAGCTTTTTTGTAAAATTTTTGTGCCCAGAAAAAAACGCCTTCAAACTATCTTACGTACTGTACTTCAATTGTTTTTGAAAATACTTCATTTTCTTAGTCTTAGTTTCGTCAGAAAAATTAGGTGGTAAAACCGTCTTGAGGTACGAAAATCGGATCTGGGTCGATATTAGAGTACAGTAGAAAAATCTTTGGTTAGTGCAAACGTTAATAAAACGAATCAAAAGTTTAATGCGATTACGAATGCCACAGTACACTACGAGTAAGTACCTATTTATGGTATGTACGCCAACTAAAATTCGTAGTAGCAGCAGCTATATGTAAAAAAAAAGCCGAAACAAACATGTGACGACAGCACCCGCGAAGACTAAATTAAATCAACATTTGTCTCACTTAAATGCTCATCAAATATGTTTTACAGCATGACATTCTTGAGCGCATTCTTGTATCAAAGTATAAGCTAGCTTCCGCTCGTTTATCTAAGCAAATAAACCCCCGAAAAACAAAATTTAAAAGGCAGAGGAATCAAAGAAAACGAAGCAAAAGAGTTGAAACATATCAGCCGGAAAGTAAACACACCTACTCAGCAATATTTGTACAGCATAAGAATGGTAGAGGTTTTTTGAAAATGTAAAGAAAATCAGCATTCTAAGTGGAGAGCTATCGCCAACAGCTGCCGCTGCTTCTATGCTTGCCTGCCACTGGAATCACTGAAGTGTAAGAATATTTCGTTAAAGTCACGGCAAACAAAGATTTATAAATATAGAAAAATATACAAAACTTTCCAGTGTATGTGTACATTTTAAAGCACATATGCACATATGTATGTACTTGCATCCGCTCCTACACATCGGCAAGTACAACCCACACGCAGGCACACTCAAATGCTTGAATAAGTACACTTGTGTGGAAAATTTCAAAAAAAAATGTTTTTTTTTTTTTGAACTGGCAAGCGTCGACAAAGGACCAATTCAAGTTTGAATTGGCATTGAAATCATGACGGCATGTTTAGATTTTTTATTTGAAAAATTTTATTCCAACCCTCTGCATATGTCCATAAGTATTATACTTTTATATGAAAGTGAGTGTATACCTTCATAAAAGTATGTGACATTTGCGCATT